GACAGTAGATTGTGAAAACATAAAGCTTTCACTTTTCTCAACAATTGTCACGATTTCAGGTTTAGACAAACCTGTAAACAAGATAATTTACCCCCGGAAATGTACATGAATTCTAAAGCGCCCCTCGTATGTATACCTCACATTACGTCAAGGAGACGCGCCCCACTGAAATTTCGTTCGCGGGAGAGAATTGTGCACCGTTATCAAAAAGGTCGATATAAGAGAATTAAAGTTTGAAATAAGTAGCTTCAATAACAGGGTTTCATTTATAACGATGCCAATAAATGATTTATGCATTTGTACCCCCCAAGAGTATATGTGATCTTTTGAAATTGTGATATAAAGAGAGGTAAACGACCCCTCAAAACAAAATCATGTACATCCTTTAAAATGCCATGCTTCCAGGTGGTATCGAATGCTTTTTCAAGATCAAAGAATATCGATACTGTATGTTGTTTATTGACTATAGCATTTTAATAAAGGATTCTTAACGTACCAAATGATCAATGGTACGATTTTTCCTGAAACCACATTGAATATTTGTTATAAGGTTAATGGTTTCAAGATACCATGTTAATCTATTGTTTACCATTCGTTCCATGATTTTACAGAGACAACTCGTTAAAGAGATGATATGTAATTAGAAGGATCACTATGATCCCGGCCAGGCTTTGGAATAGGGACAACAGTGGCATAACGCCAAGATGTTTGGAAATTCCCTGAAGTCCATATTGTATCAAAAATATTTAGAAGTGTTTCCAAACATGATTCAGGTAAATGCTTCAAGAGTTGATAGTGAATATTATCAGCTCCAATTGCTGTATCATGAGCTTGCTCAAGGGCAGTGTGGAGCTCATGTAATGAAAATAATTCATTATAGACTTCGCCATTGTCTGAGTTAAAATGTATTCTAATCTTCTCCCGTTGTTTCTGATATTTTTGAAATTCTGGGACATAACTTGACGAAGAAGAATGTTTGACGAGAGTTTCACCAAGCTTCTTGGGCAATGTCAGACTTATCAGTTATTAATTGTCACCATCCTTCAGATGTAGGACAGTAGATTTGGAACCTTTGCCCTTTATTCGTTGATTGAAGTTCCACACCTTTGAAATAGGTGTGTGTGAATTAAGTTTGGAAACATAGTTCCTCCAAGACTGACGCTTAGTCTGTTTAAAAGTGTTTCGAGCCTTGACATTTAAAATTTTAACTTTATCTCAATTATGGACTGTAGGATGTTTGCGAAAAAACGTTTTAGCTTTCTTCCTTCTCTTTCTGGCTTGTTTACACTCATTAGTAAACCCTGGTTTTCGAACATGTGGAATTGCAGAGGACTTGGGTATAGTTCGGTCAGCAATGTCATTGAGTATATCGGAAAACGACTGTATAGGATCTTCACAGTTCCTGAGAAGGTCATGTTTTAAGTGTTCAACACACAGAGTCTCTTATAATGACCAGTCAGCCCTGGCGAAGTTCCTTCTTGATAAAGGTGGATCATCACCATGGTTGATTGTTTTGAGAATGGTGTGGAAGGAATCACTCCCACATAATGAGTGACAGAAGAATATGTTCCCGTAGCTGGATGGAGATAAGTGGCTGAATCACCATTGAAAATACATAAATTATTATCGGAAATGAATTCCTCAATGAATTTACCTTTTTTATTAGTATGGACACTTCCCCAAAGCGGGTTGTGTCCGTTCACGTCATCCATGGTAACACATGGCTTCGGAAGCTGAGCATAGAGAGTTTGAAGATCCAGTTGTCGAATATTATACGAAGGAGGTATTTATAAGCTGCACAGAGTCAATGCAATGTGCAGAGTTAAACGAATAGCAACAGTCTGCGGATTTGTATTAAGTGGGACAGGGCTATGAATAATACCCTGCCGCACTAAAATAGAACCCGGGTCTTTGGCGTGACAAGCAAACGCTTTAACCACGAGGCTACCCCATCATTTGTCAAAAATGCCATAATTCATTAACAATTTGCAGTGTCGATCTTTTTTCAATTTAAAAAAGCATATGACACTAAAAACATGGCATTTTAAGACATTTAGTCGATTTTGGATTGCAAGGCCGTTTGCCTCAATTTATATCCAACTTTTTTAATGACAGGGAATTTCAAGCCCGAGTCGGGTCCACCCTGCCTGACCATTACAATCAAGATCATTATGATGTCCCACAATTTAGTATAAAGATTAATAGTTTATCAAAAGTTGTTAACGATTCAATAGATGGTAGTCAATTGCGGATGATTTTAATATTTCCTGTCGTGGCAAAACATGGATACAATTGAAAAGCAATTGAAATTGTTTTTAAAATTAAAATGAATAAAATATATAAATGGTGTTAAGAAACGAGATTCAAGTTTTCAAAATCAAACTTAAATATCAACAACAATATAATGAATTAAGAAACCTTAATGATACTTATACATCTATCTTCACAGATGGATCCATGGATAGTGGCATAGTTGCTTGTGCCACTGTCATTTGATCCATATCAGCAGTTTCTTCCAGATTGCCAAACAACAGCTCCGTCTTTACAGCCGAACCGATATTTGCTCATTACAATATCAATAAACAGTCTAAATATAAACAATACATAACATTTTCATATATCTTTCTTGTCAACAGGCCATTAAAAACATGTTAAATAAACATCCACTTTTAATCGAAATTATCGAATAACACAATGATCTTGCTACTGGCCAATGTATGTTTGTAAAATATTGTAATGCTACCAACAGTAGCATTTGCCTTTATATGTATGTCCTTCTATGACTGTTAAAACCAAGAAATTGATTTCTTTAGTCATAAAAGGACGTTGAGTGTTTTGTATGGATACATATATACATCTAAAACAAGTGAAGTGGAAGTGCATAGTGATAGTGAATTAGGAACGTCACCAATATAAGACTTCTTGAGCCGGATGATGGTGCACAAAGTAGAATATCACCTATATTAGTCATTATTTTGTTTATTTCTAGAATACGAAAATTCAAGCAAATTCGTTTGAACTTTTGAGTCCTTCTTTAAATTATGGACTGTGAGTGTGCTTTGAAACAGGAGATTGGTTGTACATTGCACACAGACATACCGAGTAGATGATCCCAGTCCAATACAGGGATGTAAATAACTGTTTAAATTGCACCGGATTTTGAAACCTTTTCAGCAGGCGTGAACAATGGCTGTCGTTTTTCTTTAAAATTCTTGTTTTAAGATAACAGTTTATCGTTGAGATTATCATGTGAAATATTTAACAGTCAATACCAATTCTATCAGTTATAATGTTGTATTTATGGTTGAACTTTTAAAATCCATCATGTTTTTAGTGTTTTCTCGTTCATCATGGTGTTTCTCGAATCATGTCCTGAGATCTCCGAGATCCAAGGCAATTGCTTTTCGACTAACGTGTTTCTGTTTAGGAAAATAAGTGACAAAAAAAAGAAATTTCATCGATTGTACTGTGTCATGACACATGTGCTTTTGGGATTAAGCGAAGTGCCTTGTACGGTTCCGATTCCGAGCTCATGTTTATGAATAACTATCAAAAAGTGATGATACCAGGTGATCGCCAAAAGGTGGGTGTGTCATTCCCAAACGCTCGCACACATCACAAACACAAGCAAAGGCAAGCAGGTTTTTCACTGGTAGAAACATCGATCAAGATGTGTTTAATGAATAACAACTTTTTTTATTCTGTGTAATGAAGTTTCAACGTTTTGAGCATATAATGTCTGAACACATGACAGCAATCCATGAGGTCATTAAGTTGTACGTATCAATTACGATTTTTGATAAATGTCCATATCAGTTCTGTCGAAACCATTAAATATATTACTCAAATGACTTTTGACTGACTTTTAAAGTGTGCTTGTTTGTTGTTTAACACCGCACTCAGCAATATTCCATCTAAATGGCGGCAGTGTGTAAATCGTTGAGTCTGGACCTGGCAATCCAGTGATTATTTAAAATGATACGATCACATATGTCAACCAAGTCAGCGAACCTGACCACCCGATCCCATTAGTCGCCTCTTACGACAAGCATGGGTTACTCAAGGCCAATTTCAAGCCGGATCTTCACGGGTAATTTTATCAAGAGTAATGTGTGAATACAGTTACATCACGCGAGACAACAGAAACTTACGCACAGACTTACAATTGTTTGCCTTTGCTGTCTCAATTGTATTTTTAATCCATACTTACTTTTTGCGACTTGTGAAGATCCGGGTTATAATATTGATCTTCAGTAACCCATGCTTGTCGTAAGAGGCGACTAACGGGGTCGGGTGGTCAGGCTGGCTGACTTGGTTGACACATGTCATCGGTTCCCAATTGCGTAGATCGATGCTCATGCTGTTGATCACTGGATTGTCTGGTCCAGGCTCGATTATTTACAGACCACCGCCATATAGCTGGAATATTGCTGAGTGCGGCCTAAAACTAAACGTCATCATCAAGAAGAAGCATATCGGCTCCCTGCTTCATAAGTAGCTCAAACGTTCCTATATTTCCACGTACTGCCGCTATCAGAACTGGTGTCCTGTTCAAATGTCCTGTAGCGTTGATGTTTACAATGTTATTGGACAGGAGGTACTTTACTATGTCCACAGTGCCTTCACAGGCCAAATGGAGTTGCCCTCGACGTCTACTAGCGTCAGATCATCACCGTTCTTCACAAGTACATCAAACACTTTCTTGTAACCACAACGTGCTACAATCATCACTAGTGTGCTGCCCCTCACACATATTCTATTGATGTTCTGCTCAACGTTCTTCTGTGTCAAGACATTATTCACTAAACCCACTTTTCCAACCAGACTGAGCTTATGTAGAATGTTCTCACTGCTATCATCCACTACTGACAGATCAGCTCCTTTACTCTCCAGCAACTCAATTATATCTCGGTATCCGTGCTCTGCTGCCAATAACACTGGTGTCATGCCCTCATATTCTCTGTCATTGATGTTCACAACATTCTCTGTGAGGTTATATTTCACTCGTCACAGGCCATATGTAGTATGTTCTGTTTATCATCATTCACTAATGGCAGATTGGATCCTTTTCTAACAATTAAGTCAAATATTTCTGCCAGTCCCTCATCTACTGCCAACATGACTGCTGTCATCCCTTCGATGTTTCTATTGTCGATCTCTACAAAATCATTTGCGAACACATATTTCACTGTATCCATATGTTTGCCCTTTAAAGCAACATGGATAATATTGTTATTCTCGCGATTAACAAGAGTCGGATCAGCTCCTTCACTTACTAAAACTTTCAAGACTTCTGTATGGCCCTCATTTGCTGTTTCCAGGGCTGACGTCCACCCTGCATCTGATCGACTGTTTTTCACGATATTCTGTGCAAGAACATACTTAACTAGCTCCATATTTCCTCCCTGACCGGCCATGTGAAGAATATTGTATCTGTTGTCATCCTCCTGTGACAAATCAGCTCCATTTTGCAGATGAAAGTCGAACATATCCTTTCGTCCCTCAGAGGCTGCTAATATTACGGGTGTCAATCCTTCAAAATCAAACTGTAGTTGGTGAGAATGGATTTTATTATTTCCATATTTCCTCCTTTACAAGCAAGATGAAGGATGCTCTTGTGGTCACTGTCCCTGATTAACAAATTAGCATTTTTCCTTACAAGCACGTTAAATACGTCGTTATGACGTTTATATGCATTTATTATATCCAAGTTGCCTCCGCCATATGCAAGATGTAGAGCCGTATTGCTCTCATCATCAGCATCTTTTCTTACAAGGAAGTCGAACATATCAATGTGTGCTTTCTCTGCTGTAATCATCACCGGTGTCTTCCTTTGTGGACCTCGGATGTTGATTTCCGAGCGACCATCACATAAGATGCATTTTATTCGGCTTATGTCGCCATCCATACAGGCACCAACGAGTTTGGTGTTTAAATGGATTAGGTATCGATGGTTGTTAATCTTTCTTGTGAGAAATATAAATATGTTGTAAGTCAACGATCTCTTGTATCTGCAAATGATACACCTTTAGGTATTTAGCTATTGAACAAGATATGTCCGATCTTGCCAAACATGCCCATGATCAAATCAACACATAAAACCTTCCTAGTCACCGTCTCAAACTAGACGCTATCTTGAATAGATATAAGACATAGAATTTATATGAAATTCTTAGTTGTAACTTTACTTTGATTTATGTCGGTGTTTGCCAAGAAAGATGCGGTATGCTTACATTTGTCAGTCACAATATATACTTGAAAATAAGTACGTTTACAGTACATAACTCATGCTTTAGCTACACTTCATAAAGGCACGAGGGAAGCATTCTACTGGTCCGTTAATGTCATTCATTAATCAATAGAAGTTTTAGACATAAACTTTTAACTGTACTTTAATAAAATTGAAGATTTAGCAAATGGTTTTCATTTGTAATATTTACCCTGTCCTAACAAGACAGGAGCAGGGATAGCTCCTCCCCACATTCACGAGAGCCATCGCCAATATTATTCAGTGGCATTGCAGAGGACTGAAGAATAACTTCAGTCAAATACAAATACTCATACAAGTTCTTCAACCGTCAGTATTATGTCTTCAGGAGACATATCTTAAAAATAATGAGACCTTTAACTTAAGACAGTACAGTGATTATCATTCATTTTCCCCTTCAGGGGATAAAGCCACTGGAGGCGCTTCTATTTTCGTGCGGCGGGGTATTATACATAGTCCTGTCTCGCTTAACACAAATCTTCAGACTGTAGCTGTTCGTCTGACTCTGCACATTGCCTTGACTCTGTGCAGCTCATATATCCCTCCTTCTTCTGACATTCGTCAATCGGATCTTCAAAATGTATATGATCAGCTTCCAAAGCCATTTATCATCATGGGTGACGTGAACGGACACAACCCGCTTTGGGGAAGTACCAACACAAATAATAAAGGTAACATCATCGAGGAATTCATTTCCGATAATAATTTATGTATTTTCAATTGTGATTCAGCCACTTATCTCCATCCAGCTACGGGAACATATTCTTCCCTGGATCTATCACTGACTCCAATTTATATAATGGATGGTCCATGGTGACCTATGTGGAAGTGACCACTTCCCCACCATTCTCATAACAATCAACCCTGGTGATTATCCACCTTTATCTAGGAGAAACTTCGCAAGGGCTGATTGGTCATTATATGAGACTCTGTGTGTTGAACACTTACAACATGACCTTTTCAGGAACACTGAAGATCCTATACAGTCTTTTTCGGATATACTCATTGACATTGCTGACCAAATTATACCCAAGTCCTCTCCAATTCCACATGTTCGTAAACCATGGTTTAATAATGAATGTAAAAATGTAGAAAGAAGGCCGAATAATATTTTCGCAAATACCCTTCTGTCCATAATCTAGATAAAGTCAAAATTACTAATGCTAAGGCTAGACTATATTTTAAACAAAAAAAAGCGTCAGTCTTGGCGAAATTATGTTTCTAAAATAAATTTCCGTGCATGTCAAAGGTGTGGAACATGATCCAAAGAATAAAGAGCAAAGGTTCCAAATCTGCTGTTCATCAATTGAAGGACGGTGATAATTTATTGAGTAATAAAACTGACATAGCAAATAAACTTGGTGAAACTCATGCCAAGCATTCACCTTCATCAAATTATGTCCCTGAGTTTCAAAAGTATCAGAAACTACAGGAGAAGATAAGAATAAATTTTAACTCAGACAATGGTGAAGATTATGACGAACTATTTTCGTTACATGAGCCCCATACCGCCCTTGAGCAAGCTCATGATACAGCAACAGGAGCTGATAATATTCACTATCAGCTCTTGGAGCATTTGCCGGAATCATGTTTAGAAATCCTTTTAGAATTTTTTGATCAAATATGACTTCAGGAAATTTCCCAACTTCGTGGTGTAATGCCATTGTAGTCCATATTCCAAAACCTGGCCGGGGTCATACTCATCCGTCTAATTACAGACCAATCTCTTTAACGAGTCTGTAAAACCATGAAACGAATGGTAAACAATAGATTAAACATGGTATCTTTAAACCAATAACCTGATAACAAATATTCAATGTGGTTTCAGGAAAAATCGTAGTACCATTGATCATTTGATACGACTAGAATCCTTTGTTAAAAATGCAATAGTAAATAAACAACATGCCGTATCGATATTCTTTGATCTCGAGAAGGCCTACGAAACCACCTGGAAGCATGGCATTTCAAAGGATTTGTATGATTTTGCTTGAGGGGTCGTTTACCTCTTTTATATCACAGTTTTTATCAGACAGGCAATTTCAAGTCCGAGTGGGTTCAACTCTGACCATTATAATCAGGATCAGGGTGTCCCACAAGACGTATTTTGTCTGTCACTTTAAAATCAACAGTTTATCCAAGGTTTTAATTGATTCAATTGATGGATCACTTTTTGTGGATGATTTTAATATTTCTTGTCGCGGTAAGAATTTGTATACTATTGAACGGCAACTGCAGTTGTGTTTAAACGAAATAAATAAATGGTGTCTTGAAAACGGCTTTAAATTTTCTAAATCAAAAACTAGTTGCACACATTTCTGCCTTAAATATAAACCATATAAAGACCCAGAACTGTATGAAATGGCACTCCCATTAAAGTTGTCAAGGAAGCCAAGTTCTTAGGTTTGATATTCGACTCCCATTTAACTTTTCTTCTCATATCAAATCCCTAAACACTAAATGCCTGAAGGCACTCGATTTATTGAAAGTCGTTTCTAATTCAAAGTGGGGAGGGGATCAAGCTACCCTCCTATATCTATATCGATCACTTATCCATTCGAAACTTGATTACGGCTCCATCGTATATAGTGGAGCCTGTAAAAGCAACCTTAAAATTCTTGATTCTGTCCACCATCAAGGTCTAAGACTTTGTCTTGGATGCTTTAAAACTACTCCTGTTGACAGTCTCTGTGTTGAGGCCAATGAGCCATCTTTTACACAACGCCGTATAAAAGTATCCTTGCAGTGGATAACAAAACTTTATTCTAACGTGTCTAACCCTGCATTTAACTGTGTCTTTAATCCCCTTTATGAGGATTTGGACAACAAAAAGTCTTCTCTTGTTCCGCCTCTTGGTTTAAGAATTAAACCATTCATTTCTGCTGCCGGCATTGAGTTTGCACATATAGGTCCTTCCCGTCTTCTATCTTCTCCTCCTTGGCAATACGTTAGGCCACAGGTTGACCTAACACTGACAAAGTATAAGAAATCAGATACTAATGAATTACAATATAAACAAGAATATAATCAATTAAAAAGTACATATAATACATACAAATCCTTATTTATAGATGGGTCCAAGGATGGTGGAGCAGTTGCTTGTGCCACTGTCATTGGATCCAAAACAATATCCTCCAGAATAGCTGATGGCAGCTCAATATTCATTATGTCTTGCTTGACTGTGTTGAATATTCCATCACAAGGGATAACTATTTCAAATCAGGAACTATGAAGGATCTTTTTAATAATATAAGTTCTCATTTAATTATTGCATTTTTTAAATAATTAGATTTGTTAAATGACTTGTAAATAAATAAATATTTTATGAGTGGAAGTTTAAATTCGTAACTCAGATTGTTAGTGGCTGTATCCTCAAGGGGGGTTAAAGTACTGTAAAATTATTGTCCTCGTGAGAGGGTACGTAAGTCCCAAAACATTCAGAGTAAATTAAAACTTTCCACTTTTTTAATCATAGAATACGTGTCTTTTTAATGTATGGCTAGATTTGCTAAATTGCTAACGGCATAAGGGATAGTGTAAATCCAGCTAGAGTTCATGCAGGAAGCAAATGTACTGTAAGTCCCCATGGTCCCTAGTATGGTGATCTACCTGCAGTTGTTGGCAATCTATAGCCTGTTTTTATATTGTATTGTCATGTATAGTTAAACTATTTTAGATTTACTTACTAGTTTTATATATATATATATATCTGTGAGAATCTAGTTGTTTTACTGTCCTTCGCTGACAGAATTATATAATTTACCTTTAATTGTTAATATATTTATAACTTGATTTAGTCACGATATGGCTGAAATATTGCCGATGTGACTTAAAATCCTAACTCACTCACTCACTCATTTGTAATATGATACTAAACGCCCTATGCTCAATTACAGATATAAGACAACGGATTGTTGGCTCCATATATCTTTATTGTCCTATTTTGTGGGTTAAAATAATTATTCACATATCTTTTAGGTTGAGGGGGTTGTTTTTTTGTAAGGGTACGGGAATTTTTCTCACTTGAACTTAGCTTGTACACACAGAGATGATCAGTGTTAGAGAATGTTCTTTTGGACATACCTATGGACATACATGGATATGAAGTACATATTTTCTAAATTCTTACATAATGGACATACCGCGGGCAAATGGGTTGATATTTTGTCTATCCGTGAATACTGTGATGGCCATCACGAAGATTTAAATAATACTCCTGAATTT